AAAAAAAAACAGACTTGGAGGTATGAGAGTGAGCTATGATTAAAAAAACAGACTTGGAGGTATGAGAGTGAGCTATGATTATCTAAAGGGAAAGTATTCAAAGCAGAGGGAACGACGCACACAAAACAAAACAAAAAACAAAAACACCAAGACAGGCATGAACCTAGCAAGTTCAAGAAACAGTTAAGATGCCATTGTGGAACCAAGAATAGGACGTAGAGTCAGAAGTAACAAGAGTAGGTGCGGAAGCAGGTTCATTAGTCCTTTTAGGTCACTGTAAGGATTTCAGCCTTTACCCTAAGTGAACTAGATACTCTTGAACAGAGGAGTGACATGTCTCACAATTCACCTGTTCTGAAAATAGGTAACAGGGGTTGAGGATATAACCAGGGAGGTTACAAAAATCCATGTGAGAGATGATGGTGGCTTGGAATAGGGTGATAGAAGTTGGTAGAAGTAGGGATGATGGGAAGTGGGTTGATAGGGCAAACGTGGATAGAAAAAAGGTTTGCAGTGGTAGGGGTTTGGTGGTGTAGTGCCCTGGTGGCACAAGGTGTTAATGAGCTGCACTATGAAGCTGTCTGCAGCCCTGGCAGCATGAGTGATCTCCCGTCAGGGAGCTGACCCACATGGGCAGCAGACCCCTCCTGTGTCACGGGCTGCTCCCCTCAGCAGTGTATTTCAGTAGCTCTGCCTGTTCTGCTCCCAGTCTGTCTCTGGTGAGTCCTCTCACTTCCTGTACCTCTGGCCTGTACCCCAGTTCTTGAATGCATAAATAATTTTTTTTTTCTAAAGGTATGAGAGCAAGGAAGTCTAGCAGGACTGCTAATGTTTGGCTTGAGTGACAGCAAGACTAAGTCAGGGAGAGCAATGGAGGGAGCAGGTTTGGGGTACAGAGTATGTTAACGCTGAGAGGTCTGTTAGGCCTCGATTTCCACTTAGAAAATAAGTAGAATTGGCACTTGACTATGAGACTGGAGTTTAAGGAGAGGGCTGGACCGGAGATGGACTCTCGATAGTCATCAGTACAGATTGTATGTAACACTGTGAGTCTCACTTGTGGTGACGAAGTTAGAGGAGAGCAGTTTGGGCAAAAGAACACGGAAAGAAGGCTATGTAAGAGAAGTTAAGTGAAAAAAGAATTTCAACCAAGTAGACAAGTAGGCTAAAATAATGTTTATTTACAGTTTAATCAGAGGAAAATGCCTATTGGGTTTGACTCAGGCCATCCTCATGGCAGAAACTGGGCTGGTGTTGGGGATCACCTGATAGAAGCAGAATCTCGTTTTCCCCCCACCAGGAGCATAGCATCAAGGTGCTGGAACTGGTCTCCACCATCTGGGACTCAGAGCTGCACGTCGCAGGCCTCAGACTCCTCAACAGCCTCCCACTGCCTGATTTTGTGCATCCACAGCTGCGACGGGTGATGCCTGCATTGATGGAGATCCTGCAGTCAGACTATATCCTGGCACAGGTGCTGTCTCCTGGCACACCACCCAGACCCTGCCTCGGGCCAGCCGTGGTGCGGTGACGTGTGTCATCCCTGCTTGGGCCTACACTCATCTGCCTGCTTATGCTTTCCTCTTTATTCAGTGACAAAACTTAATGTGTTTTAATATTAGGCAAAGTAACTTATGATGCCCTTGTCTTTACTCAGGTGCAAGCCATAAGACTGCTGAGCTACCTGGCACAGAAGCACGACCTTCTCTATGATATTCTCAACTGCCAGGTAGGAAAGGAACTGCAGAGGGCTGATGGGTGCCAGCTGGGAGAGGGTGAATCATGAATTCTCCAGACTGACTTA